CAATGCACCCCGCCACACTGCAAAGATTGTTGAGGAATGGTTTAAGGACATGACAAACAGTTCAATGTGTTGCCTTGGCCTCCAAATTTCCCAGATCTATAGGATGTGCTGGAACACCGCATCTGATACATGAAAGCCCCACCTTGCAACTTGCAGACTTAAAGGATCTACTACTAATGTCAGTAGATCCACAGGACAGATACCACACAACATGTTCAGAGGTCTTGTGGAGTCCATGCCTTGATGCATCTGAGCTCTTTTAGCAGCACAAGAGGGACCTTTACAATATTAAGCAAGTGGTTTTCATTTTGTGGCTGATCAACTTATATAGAGGAATCTTCTTTATATAAAGGCAACATGCTCCAAATTATAGAGGCTGGGCACATATAACAGAAGTTCATTGCCTGCATTCCCTGTCTGAAACATTTTTAGACATACTTTGCTGGCTGCTGTTAGAAAACCAAATTACTGTATATACCACCTTGATCTTTGTTTGATCCAATAAGGTTTTCACAGTTGTTTAGATTGTGAAGTGGTATAGTTCCCAATTTAACTCTTGTCTTTCAAAGCCTATTGCTTCTAGCTTTAACTATGGGACATTTCAACAGACAAATACATAATAAGAATAATAATGTGCCATCCAGTCAATTCTGATTTATGGCAACCCTTTTCCCCCCCAGGGTTTTCGAGGTAGAGGATTCAGGAGTGGTTTACCTTTCTCTTCTTTTGGGGGCACCCTGGCACTGTGCAGCCTGCCCAAGGCCACATAGGTTGGCACTACTCACAGCAGGCACAGTGGGGAACTGGACGCCCAGCCTCTGGCTTGGCAGCCACGTGCCTTAACCACTGACCTATCAGGGCAGCTAGACACATAAAAGAGAGTGGAAATGGTGGATAGAATATATTTAGACAGCCTGGGTTGCTGCTCAGCTATGAGACTCACTAAACAGCCTTGCCCACCCGATACACCCTGAACAGAAACCAATTTGGGATTTACTCTAGCACAGGTATAATTGTATAAATCATAATGGTGAGTTGCGACTTGCATTCCTGACTGTTTTCCTGTCATGCAACTTGGCCCATGGCCAGGAAGATAACTCATTAATTAGCAACAACTTGTCACACTATTTCTCCAGTTCATCTTATTCCAACAAGACAAAAATGTGACAATCATAAGACTCTCAGAAGAGCAGCTATAAAGAAACTAGAAAAGATCCTAAAGTGTAAGGGTGTGTAATTGGAAACAAGGCAAAAATTATCCATATGATAATATTCCCAATTGTTGTGGATGGATAATAAAAGCAAGATAGTAGGGGAAAAACATTGGGGGTGGGGGAATCATTTGAACTATGGCGATGGAGAACTTTAGATACACCATAGACTACCAGAATGACTAATGAGTGGGTGACAGATCACATCAAGCCTAAATTTTCCATAGAAGTGAAAATGACTATACTTACCATACTTTGAGAAATGCTAGAAGTGGAAGGCAGCAGGAAAAGAAAACCAAATAAAAGAGGACTTGACTCATAAAGGAAACTATGGCCTCAAGACTGCAACAGCTGAGCGAGGCTGTTAGTGACAGAATGTTTTGGAAGTCACTAATTCATAGGGCTGCCATATTTTGGCAGTGACTTGGCAACACATAACAAAAAAAAATTAAAGTCCTATGAGTAACCATATTTTAGGCAAAATTATGAGGTTTTCTATTTTGCTACGTAACATGAATTTAGTCCTGAGTATGCCATTTATTGATCCTAATATAAAGAGCCTATTCATACTTGAAGGATATACAGCTTTAGGAGTTGAAGGATAAAGGTATAGGTCACCATTGAGTCTGAACGTAATACAAGATGAATTGCATGTTCAGAAATGATGCTGGTGGCTGTTTCTCCTCCAATATTTATCCTATTCACAGCCAATATGTTTCTCTTTATTCCTTCAGCCCCCTAGGGGGATTGCGAGGGGGGAGTAGGAAGTAGAAAGAAGCTTTCCCTGATGACTGTGAATTTTCTGTTTGTGAAGCCTCTTCATGTGCCTGTCAACGTTTTCATTTTCAGTAACAGCAGCACACCACCCACCTCACAAAGTTCTAGGCCAAAGACGATACTATTCAAATGCCAGCCAGTGCTCTTCCACCTTCCTTGGTACACTGATTTTATTAGAATATTTCTACCTTGCCCTGGAGCTGAAGATCTTGGAATATAGCACAATCAACAAGTCAGCTGGCAGGGGGGCGGCAGCAAAGAGACATTTTAAACAATTTTAAATAATTCAACATAATCAAAGTAAGACCCATAATTCTTTTTATAGTAAAAAGCAGACAGTAGTCTATTTCTGCTCATGTCCACTATCACAAGAGCTTTGGTTACCAGAACTCAAAAATGACATTGGAGAACTAGATAAACATGTGAACAAGGAGAAACCAAGTTAGAATCGCTCTTAGAAAATATGCCATTGTTTGGGAGGGACAACAAAAGGAAGGTTTAATTTGCAGGGGGGAGCCAAGCAAGATGAGGGATGGGAAGGGTATAAAATTATGCAGTATGAAAAAGGTAGGCAAAGAAAACCTTTAACCCATCTCATTATAGTAGGATGCAGGTTCACCCAATGAAGCTGAATGGGAGGAAATGGGAGGAATTACCAAGAAGTAATTCACACAGCACATTGTTAAATAATGGAAGTTACTACAAATTACTACATCAAGATGTAACGCTTAAGGGGAATACCAAATATGGGATAGATTCCCTAAAGGAAGTCACAGCCTTGAGTTTACAAGAGCTGAGCAGGACTGTTGAGGATAGGATATTCTGGCGACGTCTCACACATTAGGTCACCATAAATTGAAGGCAACTTGATGACACCTAAACAACAAAACACAAGATGTAGTAATGGCTGCACTTTTGGAAAGTTCAATGGGGTTATACATTTATAAAGAGCAGTACTATGAATGGTTACAAATCTCCCCTATATCTGCAATATGAACAGTATAAGCATACAGTAATCTAATTTGCACACCAATTTTCTATAAAGTTGTATGCAAAATGATCTCCAACAGATCAAACAGAAACATGCAATTGAGAAACAAGATTACAATGAGCAGTACATCAACAGGTAAATAAATAATAAAAAGACCTATACAATATTAAACAAAACAGTAGAATAAATGGATCAGCTTACAAGTGAAAAGAGGAAGCCTAAAGCTTGATTCAAAAGCAACACCCTGCTGCACACGAGGCTGAACAGACCTCTGTTCCATCAAGAATTGTAATTAACCTACAAAGAATAGTTGGCAGCCTTTCACACAGCTCTCATCTGGCTCTCCTCAACCCTTCTGCCATTCTTCACTTGGGAAGCTGGAGATTGTCATTCCTTCTTCAAGCCCCACATGAACTCACTTAATTATTATCCGTCTTTCCACCAAGCACCCTTCCAACACTATTTTTTGGGTTTTACCAGGCTCCAGGGAGGTCAGAGCAGGACAGCTGTGGAGGGAAAACCTCAACCCATTTCTCTCTCTACCATGCATAGAAGTACACATCCATGGCAGAACACAAACATGAGGGTTGTTATTACATACATCTGATCTCTGGCCTCCTGACAACTCTGGGAACAGAGTCCTATATGTAGTACTAGACATGCCTTTGGTCTGATCCAGCATGCCCCATCGTAGGCCTTTTGTACCAGTGGAAGACATTTCCATGAAAAAGGACACAAGGCTGGGAAAGAACTTGGTTGCTACTGCCCTCTACCAACAGTAAATATAGCTGCGGACCTGGAGCAAACTTGCAATATCTTAATGAAATTTGTAATGAAGGGACAAGCTGAGCATGTACATTCATCCCCCCTGCCCTGACAAATAGGTCAGCCACCAAAATAGAGTTCAAACTTCTATTTCCTTCTCTATAAATGTGTCATACAATATACTTAGGTTTCAATCTGATACTGCTGATTGTTTTCCCCCAGCTGACAGTGGAGCACTTGCATGGAGCAAACATAGGGAAACACCGAGCTAAATTCATCACAAGGAAAGAGAAATTCTACTCAGGCTGGGGAAAGAACGTGACATAGGGCAGGCACCTTGGGCAACAGTCCTGGGTAGTGTTTTAATAATGTATATTTCTGCCCTTAGATGGCAATAAGAGAAAAGTTGTGGAAAAATGAATCAGGAGACCATACTTAGATTTGTTTATAAACAGCTGGGTTTATTTAAGAAGAACACATTACAAAAAATATATATACAGATTTCAGATTTTTCATATCATTACTTGCAGAAAACATAGAAAAAAGGTGACCAAAGAGACTGGTATAAAAACACAAACAGATCAAAAAAGGTACAAACTTGTCTAGGAAGAGCACGAGGAAGGGCACTGGGACTTTTGTACAAAACAATTGTTTACAGGTGCAGAATATATAAAATGTTCCCTATCTCATGGCAAAAATACAGGAGGACATTCTTTTTTAGACTTAAAAAGAAAGGTACATCAGGAGGTATATGTGGTATGTGAGCTTGGTAAACAGCCCAATATCTTTCAGTCTTGAGTTGCACCCTCACCCAACATACACTTTTAGCTACGCTGACAGTAAACGCTACCCAACACGTGAAACATCCATTCAGTGGATTTACACTGGAACAAAGGTGGGGATCCATCGAAAAGTGGAGCATTGCAGCAGCAGAGATGTGCCAGCAAGGCCAAGAAGTTCAGAGTCATATGTATGGGACTAAATGTTACACAAACATGTGGGACTCAAAGAGGTTTGAACTCTGACATATCTCCCTATGTGCAAATATAAAGCTGTTGCTGGTAGCATCTTTTGCATTTATTTCACTGAGGAAACAAATAGACTCTACTGTAGCCTTCCTGAACCTGGTTGTCTCCAGTTTTGGACACTAATTCAAATTATCCCTGATCACTGGCCATGCTAACTCAAGTTGATGGGAACTGCACTCTACAACATCTGGAGGGCACCAGATTAGGGGAGGCTATTCTTTTTTCCCCCCTCTGTCACTCTGTGCACCCACACAAAAGCAGGATTTGAGAAGGAAGGTTCTCTTTTTAGGAGCTTGTTCGCCACATTATTAATGGGCATTAAAAACAGAAGCAAAAGGGAGAGAACATGAGGGAAAGAAAATGAAATATGGAGTCAGAGTCAACTGTAGAGGCTAAAACAGAGCATAGGAGAAGAGTTGCAAACCCCGATAGACATTGGTTCACCATTGCATCATTGGGAAAGGCTTATAAATATATTATATATATATATTTATATAGTATAAAAACAGTTTATCAAAACAGTCATATTGTACCTAAATGCTACAAAGAGGTGGATGATAACTAATTGCCCCATCCTCTGTCAAATGAACATCCAAGAAACTTACAGCTGCTTATTTTGCTTGCACATCCTTTGCTGCATCAAGAAGGCAACACAGAACCCTTCTAAATTCCATTAACTACTTACATTCTGGTAATGGATGGATAATATAGTTAGGGGACAAAAACTGCTGCCTTTAATATGGGCTAATCCTAATCATTTGGCCACAATGCACAGGGGCCCCCAAAGTGCCCTGCAGCCCACAGCCTAATCTTTTCTCTTACCGCCAACTCTCAGACAATCAGGTTGCCAAACTAGAGGCAGTTATGGAAGAAGCATCTAACACAAAGGATCCCTCTGCTAAACACTCCCTCCTTGTTCTATTGCAGGGGTGGACAGCTGTAGCCCTTCAGTTGACGATGAACTACGGCTCCTCATCTCTCAGACTGGCTGTTGGGAATCACAGCTAACATCTGAGGACAATACAGACTCTACAACTGCTGTGTGTCTGGCTTAGAAATTTTAGTTGGGAAAAAAGTCTATGATGGATTCACAGGAAAGAAGTTTTTGAAAGGTGTGACGGTCCTTTGCTTGAATGTCATTGGGACCTCAAGAGGGCTATTCATCTATTATTCACTGTCCCCTAACAAAAGTGGGGAAAAGTTATTGTTCCAGTGGAAAATAAAACAGGCTGCTTCTCTTATGCTGGTGTTTATTAGAGCTTCTATTCACAGGCCATTCCACTTCTGCCTACAAGAACAAAGGGCACTGCAACGTATTAGGAGTGCGGCAGGAAACATCTGTGGTATCTGCAGCAAGTAGAAATAAAGATGTGTGCACACACTTCCGTAAACCCAATCCAAGTCGATTTCCTCAAAGGTGTATACCTACATGTTTTACTTCCATACGTTTGACACATTTGTTGTGGAAGACAACCGGCAGACATTGCAACATGTAGCACCCTATTTACCAAGTGCTGCAAACTTAATTTTTTTTCTCCAGCTCATAGCAAAAACAGTGCTTATACCTCTCACTCTTCAGCTGAAGCCTGGCAGGTATTAAATGGTTTGCATCAGCTGACCACGTTGAACATGGCAAAGAGTAAAGAGGAAATGAAAAGTCCTTGAAGGTGAACAGCTGCACTCCATGGTGTGTCTGAATATCACTTGTAAAAAAACCAGGGCTTGAAAAATACAAAATGTGTGCTTCCGAGAGGGCTGCCCAACACACTGGTCCATGAAAAAGATTTCTTGTTTTCTAAAGGTCATACAATGTTTCATAGAGTCTTGTAAGCATTAGTGGGGAGGCCATGCTAGTGGTGTTGGAGATGGCAAAGAAGGGCGAACACTCTGTAGGGTCCTGAATTTGATGTGGAATCACAGCAGCTTGCGATGAAGGATCTCCCAGACCATCCGCTTTCGGAAATAAGGCATGTGTTGCTTTAACAACAGAAAGAAAAAGGTGTCAGCGCTACTATCAACACATATACGAAGGCAGTTTACATTCCACAGAATCGAAAACTACTGTGCGAATACTTAAATCTGCTGAGTTACGTCTCACTTTCATAGCCTTTTTCATATTGTTCACATTTTTAAAATTGTGCCAGTCCCTTTGTGGACTAAGCCCTCTACATTTAGAAGAAATGGCACACCAAATAATGCCCACACATTCCCCCTTACGCCTTTTCTGTGTCACTCAGTTCTATGTGAAGCACAAAGCAATGTTAATGGATGGGGAAAACCAAGTCAGCTAAGAGACTGATTTACAGGAGTTACGTATGTAACATGTATATAAACAGGCCTTTAACACAAAGAACTAATGTGAACAATGAAAATAAATTGGTTCCAAGTGCTCTAGATCCTCTTTTTTGCTCTATCCCTAAGCCTCACAGTCAGGCCACTAGATCAGGGTGGGCAAAGTGCAGCTGTCCAGATATTATTGGACTGTGAATCCCAACATTCCTCACTTTTGGCTATGGTAGGGTTGACGGAAGCTGCAGCCTAACATTTGATGGACACACTTTACCCACCTGTTAAAAAGCCATAATCCATTCTGAAATATGGTGCCAGAGGAGAGCTTTGTGGATACCCCAACCACCAAACAAATGAACAAGTACGGTCGTAGGTCAAATCAAGGCAAAACTCTCTTTAGAAGCAAAAATGACAAAACTATGGCTATCCTGCTTTTTGCACCTTATGGAGCAAGACTCACTGGAAAAAGATAATGGTAAGAAAAGTAAAAGTAAAAGAGGAAGACCAAATATGAGATGGATTGACTCTATAAAGAAACCCACAGCCTTAATCTCAGCAGAGCAGTTGAGGAAAGGACATTTTGGAGGTCACTCATTTCTAGGGTTGCCATAAGTTGGAGATGATTAGAAAGCACATTACAACTGATTCTGAAAATTTAATACTGAAATCTGAAGTATAAACAAAGGGCTTCAAATGTCCATCTATTAAATACTGATCTCTCAATTAATGGGAATGACTGTATGGCTAAAAATTGGGAGAGATAACTAGATTCACCTCATATCAGCAGACTCAACATGGACATCTGCCATGAATTTTTAAGATTCAAACCTGTAATTTTTCTATACGATCCATGAAGGGTGGCTTAAGATTCAAACCTGTAATTTTTCTATACAATCCATGAAGGGTGGTGACCAGCCTGAAGAAGTGAGATTTATTCACGAAAGCTTGCAGTTTGTGTGAACCTTTTTTAGTAGTTCAGTAAATGTAACCACCTTATGCTTGCATTTGTGAAATCTTGAAGCACCTGGGCTTTTCCTAATTCTTCTCAACACCGAGGAAAATACTGATAACTAACTTTAGAGTCATATTGGCCCAAAAAGCTGGTCCAACTTGTACTGACACAAGTTACACCAGACAGGATAAGCCAACTATATGTTCAGTAATACCAAACAGGAGGAAATGGCACATAGCATTCGGTATTTACTTCCATATACACTGGGAGTACAGTGGTGCCTCGCTTAACGAGCGCACCGTTTAACGACGAATCTGCATAGCGATGTTTTTTCAGATCGCTAATGCGATCGCATTGCGATGTTTTCAATGGCAAAACATTGCATTGCGATGATCGGTAAGCCGCAACCATTTTCGCGCCCTGCCCTCGCTTACCGAGGGCGCGAAAATGGCGGCACTATGGAGGAACTTCGCTGAACGGTGAGTTTGGGGCCCCATAGGAACGCATTAAACTTCGTTCCTATGGGGTCTTTTGATCCGTTTTGCGATGTTTTTGCATAGCGACGATTAATCCAGAACGGATTAACGTCGCTATGCGGGGCACCACTGTACTGCCAAGACCACAATGATGTTTTAAAAGGACGTGATGATGTAACAGAAAAGGAACATAGCTGTCTCCTAAATTAGACATGTTAGCAGCTTCCAAGTAGCTGGGAGCAGCCTATAAAAATGCTCATCTTCCTAATGGTACTGGCTGATCAAACAGTAGCTAAAAACTTAAAAGGATATAAAGAACCTGTCATTGGAAATGTACTGTGCATGTATAGCGTATGACCTGAACTTAAAGAATAGCTAAGCAGATGAAGACACAAAGACCACAGAAAGAATCAAATGTTATTTGAAAAACTTTATGTTTTTATTATCTTTATCAAAAAACATGGACTCCAAAGTCCTAAATGCTCAAAGAAAAAATTCAAAAGTCATATTTAGAGTGTTATGAACATTACTTAGCCTCTCAGTTAATTAACATGATGCCTTCAATGCACTTGACTCCCTGTGGATATTGATAACTACGCTCATTATCTGAAGAATTGGTCTCACTGGCTTGTATATTTTCCCTCCAATTCCCTCCAATAATAAAATCAATTTTAAAAATCTGCACACACATATCCCAGTGGAAATGTTATCAATACCACCAGATGTCCGGCAAAGAACTGGACATCTGTTGGGAATAATAAAATCAATTTTAAAAATCTGCACTATCTCCACACACATGTCCCGGTGGAAATGTTATCAATACCACCAGCTGTCCGGCAAAGAACTGGACACCTGTTGGTGAAATGAGCATTGTGAGGAAAAGGGACCACAAGTCAATGATCAGGCACTCCGTGTAAACAAGGGACAACGGTATCTGCAATTCATAACCAACTATGTGTTCAAAAGCTGAAAAGCAGTCCTGCTACTAAATATATTAAGTAATATTTCTGGAATTACCTTACACTTACAGGGCAGCATCAGTGTCATGGTCTTTGAAAACCAAGATATTAGACTCTTTAATTATACAACATAAGAAATTATGAACAATTATTTACTTTGAACCTCTTCTTCCAGTTGTAGAGTTTTTGTTTTCTTGCTTTTGGCTCAATCCAAATCAGGCCCAGTACAAACTCTTACATGGTGTGACTTCTGTCAATACAGCACCTTCTAGCCAGGTAGGCAAACTTACCTGAGTGAAGTTGATTGGCTTGTCTTTGGAAATGCAGTCAGCATATTTACAGGTAAACATCCCACAGTCACTGCCATTCATCTGCTGAGGGATCTCCTTTAAATAACAAACAACCCCAACTTTTATTTGTAGGATAAAACTTTCATATGAGCTCTAGAAAATCCTTCTGAGTGAAAGAATTAGAAAGACCAGAGAAACTCTCCATGAAAAAAGAGAACAATTAATGGGATTAAATGAACCAATTTTTTGGCAGCTGAGAAGGAAGTCATGCTTCACCTCTGCAAAGAAGGAAAGGGAAAAAATTGAAATATGCAACACAAGTGTTTGTGTACCTGTGGCTATTATCAACAGTAGCTTTTACAAGCATCTATACTTGGAGGGTGCCTCTGTCTGACATTTGGGCAATAAGAAAGTAGTGCTATCTCCCCTCCATTTTTCACCAGCAAAGGAGGGGGAAGTTTCTTCCCATCATTATCGCTTCCTATTCTTTCATGACTCCCCCACCCCCAGTTCTAGAGTAGCAGCCTAGAGTAGCAAGATTAGGAAAGGAGAAAAGATCAGGAACCTTGTCATCACTAATAGCAAAGTAAATGCTTCCTGGAGAGCAAATGGACAAACAGGAACAGTAGCTGGTCTATGCCCAGAGGGTAGGGCAAAGAGAGATGACTATCACTATCCACTGATGCCTGTAATAGCTGTGGGAAAGGATAATTTTTATAGGTACTCAGAGAATTCTGCTCATAAAGAGCCTCAAACAGAAAGGAATTACATGACACGTGTCTAGGTTTTTCAAGCTATGCAGATAAACATAATTCTTACTTCCCCTCTATTGCAGATTTATTGTTCCTCGTTCCAAAGCTAATTCATGAACTGGGATTAAGGGAACCTTCCTTGTCTACTGATGAATCCTTAAAGGAGGAAGCACAGTATACATAGACCCAGATTTATTTGACAGCCATTTCACACCTTGCATGGCCAGCTCTACAGGACCAACTTACCTGGCTCCTTTTACTAAAGAGCATCCAGCCATTCGTATCAAATTCCTTTCGCTTTTTATCCAAGCTTTCCTGCTTTAGGTACTGCCTGCAAAGGTTAAGAAAGAATGAAAAGGAACCATTTTAGCAAGCAAACAGTCAGCAAATAAATAATCCAGAAAACTGATCAGACTTGCAGAATGGTAAATTCAGTCGTTTGAAATACTCCACAGATTTTTGCTCTTAAATAGCTTACTATTTTAAGATTCAGCAACTTGCTATTTTTAGCTATAGGTGGTAATTTATAGTTTACTCTTGGAACTCTGTGAGAATGTTATACAGTGGTGCCTCGCTTAACGAGCGCACCGTTTAATGAAGAATCCGCATAGTGATCCGTTTTTTGGGGTCGCTAATGCGATCGCATTGCGATGTTTAGATAGGCTAAACATCGCATTGCGATCATTTCTGCACCTGGTGGCCATTTTGGGAACAGCTGATCGGCGGTTCCAAAATGGCCGCCGGGTGCAGGAAATGGCCGCCCGCACCATTTTCGCGCTCTGCCCTCGCTTACCGAGGGCGCAAAAATGGCGACGCTATGGAGAAACTTCGCAGAATGGTGAGTTTAAGAGCCATAGGAACGCATTAAACTAAATTTAATGCATTTCTATGGTGTTTCCTGTTCCGTATAGCGATGTTTCCCCACAGCGACCGTTAATCCAGAACGGATTAACTTCGCTATGCGGGGCACCACTGTAGTTTGATTTTGGGAAGTTGCAACCTTGTATCTCAAGCTACAAACGCTAAAAAGAAGGGGGGAATTTGCTAGGACTATGGCTCTCAAATGTACAGCCTCTCATGTACGTGTGCTACAATCTCCAGAAGCCCTAGCTAACATGGTCAAAGGTCAGGGCTTCTGGGAGTTGTCGTCCAAGAGCATCCAGAGCCCCAGCCTTGGGAACCACAATGCCAGAGGCAACTACCATCTCTACCTAGTGCAAGAGGGGACCCAAGAGCAGCTAACAGGAAAAGGACTACAACACAACAGGTGCAGAACTCCTCACTGATAAAATGATGACATATAAAATACAGCAATAACTGCAGTCTGTAGATTTATGGATTCTTTGTTTCCTACCATTTTATCTAAAAGTCCATGCTCCCATAGAAAGAAATAGATGGTTCCAACTGGAAGCCAATTACTGAAGTAGGCTAAAAGATGACAAGTAATGCCACCAGCTCTGGCTATTTTAGCTTTCTTTGAGATACCAGAAACATGATTATTAATTCTGTCTCTTGGTAGCCAGCTGGAATGGATACTTGTTCTTCTTAATACTGTACACAGTAGTCTACCAACAAAGAAAAGAGGTCCTGATGAACCTGCACTCTTTCCTTATTCTTGTTTCAGTCAGATTCAAGACCCACTTGAGCTGTAACTCCCTTCTATTCCAAATATATGCAACCAAGTAATCCAGGAACATTACTGATAAAAAACTGAGCTGTTTTAATAACTATACATGCATTTGAGTCTTTTTAAAGGTCTTTTTGTGCAACTTCCAACAAGTGGGATATTTTTCAATAGCACTTTTGCAACTTAAATGCATATATGTGACATTTTCTCCTGTTTGTCTTTCATATATTGAAGGACTGAACTAGCTCTTTTCAGTCATCATACCATGGCAAAATTTCTTACCTAAACACTTCTCTGCAGAACCTTGCAACTAAATCCTATCTATCCCATGGACAGTATATAGAGCACACGCACCCATATCTATGGTAAAACACTTCTGAAATCAAGGGTGGTATCAAATGGAGCCTGTGACATATGACATAGGGGCCTATGGTTCAAATGGGGAAAATCCACCATAAAAGATATCTATCCATATGCTAAAACAAAAATATTTTCAGAAAGAGCTATTCCTGCCTCTCAAACGTACCCCTTAGCATGTTTAGCAGAAACAGGAAAATATGACATCTGACCCAAAGTTGCTTCATTTTTCATCCCTTCTTATAAATATCTGTAAGAGAGCTCATTCCTCATTTTGAGCTTCCTATACCGACACACAACAAAGCCACAATATTTCTACTGGTTTGTGTTGGTGCACATGGGGAAGAATGCTCCAAATTTGCAAAGTTTTTGTTGCCAGCAAACTTCCATGTCAGCACCAGAAGACTGGGTCATCAACATAATCCTACTGAAGTATATGCAGCACTTTCTAAGTGGTGATTTTCTGGAGTAAATATTCTGTTTCATATAACCAAGCATGGCTCATCTGAAATCCTTACATATTAGTGCTAAGGCACAGGCAGTTTGATCAGTAAGCACGGGAATGTATGATGAGGTCTTGTACTCAGATCACCAGTCTACCTATCCTAAAAATATCTATTCTCAATGACAGCAACTCTACAGGGTCTTAGGCAGAAAAAGAGTGTCCTGTCTAAACTACCTGAAAATCTTTAAACAGTTAACTTTGTTTCCATCCTGACTTTTCTGCTATTTTACGCAGACTACTTTATACAATTTTATCTTCAAAAAAATGTAATATATGCTTCAAGAAAAAAAAGTCATAGGAGATTTATGGCACCCCATAAATCTCTCCCTTTTCTAAAAAGGGTTAAAAATAATTCCAAAAAAACTCACCAAACAATCAGGAAGCTCTAAAGATTGAAAGCATGAAAGGGTCACTAACCATGAATAGGACCTCCGTCCCCTCTTCCCGGTGTGATCCTCCCACTGCATTCAACCAATTAAAGCCTCCTGAAAGGAAATAGAAAGGGGAAAACAATTACAGGAAGGGCAGCATTACTGGAAGGTAAGTCCCTCTGCCACCATTTTACCTGTACCAATGGTCACTTGGACCAAATGGCCAGATTCCTGTTCTCACTACGCTGCCACTACTCTGGACTGGAATCAATGGGTTACAGTCTACTTGGTCCTCCCCAGATTATGAGAGACCCTCCTTGGCTTCTAAATTTCCTACAATTTATGGATGAATTAGGAGACCTCTTTTGAAGAAAATCTACCAGCATAAATGGGCTCAAGTAACAGATGAGCAACAACATCCAGAGCAAAATTATTCCAGTGGCTAGTTGCCAAACATGCTCAACTTCAAAGTTTATCCACTTGCACTACCGAGGCATTCATTGTCTTGGTGATGAAGAGGAATTGGCCTTCACTTAATCTGGGTTGTTTATTAGAGACAGCTGCTAATTCTAGGCCAACTTCAGCAACCATTTTCCACAGTTACGGTTTAATACTGTCCATCTTTTATACAAGAATTTCTGGTATGAAATACGGATTCGATATGAATTTTGCCACATAGTGCTGAAGAACAGGACCTTCTGAAGACAGTATCAAGATTCCAGAATCAGCAACTGAAGGAGATATACTAAGCTACTTCCTTAGCAACTGGAGGGCCCACCTTTTCCAATCAAACTTTTTGAAATTTGACCTATGGCTTGAAATTATTTTTAATCTGGTATTTGCTTGGGACTGCTTAGTGTAATTTTAATCTCGAGTACTCAAAAGGAAATATATGTAAAAACCTGCACAGTATAACAATTTAACAGAGCTAATATATGAGGGCAGTTGAGAAAAAGTGAGAACACAACAAATCACCACTTTATACACCCTGCTTTTATTTCCATCACTCTCCACAATTCCCTCCCTCTGACACTAATGAGAAGAAAATGAACTAAGCTCCAGAGATGGGCCAGTTCTTAATTTTGTTCTGTGTCACATCAGAGGACTAAGGATCCTGTTCCCCAAATCAGTGGTTTTCTTAGAATGAACTATATCAATTCAGTAAAAGTTCAGTGGAACTTTGAAAAAAAAATTGGGCACAGGATTAAATGCTTTAAATAATGCAACTAGCTTTTAGCAGCTGCTAAAGTCAGAAACAGAACAATTCTTTATAATATTTCATTCTTATAATTTATGCTGCCTACAATAAAGTTTGTTATTTTGACCTTTTACTAAGTTGTCTATAACTTAGGGATTCAAGAATGATATTTTAAACATGGGCGTTTCTAGACCTTAACCTAGGTTTACCTTTATAGTTTTATCTACAAATTGTTTTTTTTTAAAAAAATAAGGTATATTTATGTTGTAAATATTTTGATGGTTTTTGTTCATGTGCATGCATTTTCTTTTGCATGGAGAGATGTGCTGTAATAAAGATAAATTTATGAATCTACTTTCTAATCCATCTGAACACTAGCACAGAATCATAGAAATAAAAAAAATGAAGTTGGAAGGGGCCTACAAGGCCATCAAATCCAACCCCCTACGCAATGCAGGAATACAATCAAAGCCTATCTGCCAGGTGATTCAGTTTTTCTTGAATGCCTCCAATGTTGGAGCACTCACCAACTCCCAAGGTAATTGGTTCCACTGTTGTACTGCTCTAACAGTTAGGAAGTTTTTCCTGATATTCACCCAAATTCTGGCTTCCTGTAACTTGAGCCCATTGTTTGTTTGTTTGTTTGTTTGTTTGTTGGACTTATATACCGCCCCATAGCGCTAAAAGCACTGTCCAGGCGGTGTACAATTTTTAATTATACAGGCTACACATTGCCCCCCCCAGCAAGCTGGGTACTCATTTTACCGACCTCGGAAGGATGGAAGGCTGAGTCAACCTTGAGCCGGCTACCTGGGATTTGAACCCCAGGTCGTGAGCACAGTTTTAGCTGCAGTACAGCGTTTTAACCACTGCGCCACGAGGCTCTTGTTGTGTGTCCTGCACTCTGGGATGATCAAGAACAGATCCTGCCCCTCCTCTGTATGACAGCCTTTCAAATATTTGAAATATGCTATCATATTACTCTCAGCCTTCTTTTCTTAAGGCTAAACATGGCCAATGCTTTCAGACTTTCAGCATGTCACATTCCAGTTCAGTGCTGTAGAGACAAAGGTGAATTTGATCAACAGTACCGAGAAAAGTACAAAGCTTGTAAAGAAATTCTGACTTCTATAAAATTCTGACTTTCCTACATGATTTATATATTTCAAAACTTAATTCTGGAATGTCTGCTTAATGGGTGAAATCCTCTTTCTCAATGTAGTAAGTTGCATTAGAGTAGGTTTACTGAATCAGTAGGAGTTTGGCAAGTCAACTCCTCCATAAGTTCTAGTGATTTAAATGGCCTATTCTAGCTGCAGCTTGCTATGCTAAGCAACAAGATTTTAGCCAATACTTCTGATGTATTGGCAGCTTGACAACACATAGATGTATTACTCATGTTTCTGTGTGTGTGAGAGAGAGAAGAGAGGTGCTATGCTAAGCAACAAGATTTTAGCCAATACTTCTGATGTATTGGCAGCTTGACAACACATAGATGTATTACTCATGTTTCTGTGTGTGTGAGAGAGAGAAGAGAGGGAGATATCCTGTCAAGTCAAAACTGTATAGGGAATCTAACAGGCGTTCAAGGCAAGGAAGATATTTTAAGGAGTGGTTTTCCCAGTTCTCCCCCACCCCACAACAGTGATCTGCACTCCCCCGCCAGTGAATTTCCATGGCCAAGCATGGATTTAAGCACAGGTCTCCCAAGTCTTAGTCCATCACTCTACCCACCAACACTGGGTATCTGCATCTCTCATACCCCATCCAATTACGAGCAGTCTTCCACTGATACAGAAAATTTGTCATGTCAGACTACAAATGTGAAATCCTGCATTTAATGTAACAACATTAAGGTAACAATGCCTTCGTTAGCTCTTTCACAACAGGTGACCATATTGTTCTCAACATATTTTGGAAACTAAATGGAAAAAAATTATATATGTTTGTGTTTGCATGCCAACGATTTTGTTGGAACAACTAAAATGCTCTATCAGCAAATGAATGGTTATGTAAAACACAACTTTGGTTGAAACCCTGAACAGGGTGAGCCAAGCACAACCGTTAGTCCCAGTTAGCACAGATCCACTGAATCAATGGGATTTACAAAAATGTTGGCTTAACACATCCCATTCATTCAGCAGGTCTAGTCTAATTGAGGCTGTTAGATTTAGTCCATGTCTGGGAAGTCAATTCCCATTAAATTTAAATTTAAACTAAAAGACCTTTGGGTAGTGTGGGCAGCATATAAATTAAATAAATAAATAACATTTGGCAGGCTTTACACCCAGATCTGAATAAATTTTTTTTGAAACATTTATGCCACCTTTTATAATATTTATCTTAACGCACTATACAATGAAAATTAAAAACAGAATATACAGGAAATATTCACAACAGTTACAACTGCCCTATATGAAATTTGCTCCTTTGATATATTCCTACCAAAGATACAGAGCAACATGTTCTTAGAGCTCAGGTGTGTTTCTTCCTTGATAGCTTTTACCAGAAATAATTGCCAACAGTTGCAAGAGAACATCTTCTGTTTATCTGATGAAATTTCTTTAATTCTATGTTATAGTAGCTATTAGCATCTGTAGAACAAACAGTGTTCTTTCCAGATAACGAAAATAATAAAGTGTTAGACAGTTGCACTTTTACTGATTGGCAAGCTGCTCTGTGCACATTTCTGGCTAAAGACCAGGGCATATATTTGCTTTAAATGAAATGAGTTAACAATACACTATTTAAGAATGTTGTGTTCAAGTCTGTAAAGTTCTTTCTAGATGTGGGAGCTCAAAACTTGGTTTGATTCAGTGCATATTAACTTGAGGTCGCATCTCAAAGAGCATATGTTCTTATTTGGTAACCTTTTTGTGATTCTGTTGCGTTTTTATGCTCTTACTGTTTTTGTTCTCATTCATAACCAATGTCATTTTCTGTTAGAAAAGCAGGTAAAATATTTTACATGAATGAACTACTGTGCACCTGTACAACTGACAAAAAGCAGACCATCTCCATGGAGACACACTGCTTTCCATGTGCAGAAAACTATAATAGAGCAGGGAAGGGAAGGGCTGGGCACTCCGCTCCAACTGAGGCCAAAACATGACAGAAATCAGACACATTTCTCTGACTTCGGAAAGGTGGAAATTATAGCCAGCAAAAATCAATCCAAGGAATAACATCCACCCCTTGGGGGGTAACCAACCACAAAGTTGCTCAGATCTGCTTGAACCTAGATGCTGTTAGTTGACACACATCCTGCAGAATTAACTTTAGCCCTTTCTTGTCCCATGTTAATGGATATGCTTCAACTTGTGCAACTCCAACAATGGGGAATGGACCCAAAGCCATGATGTGTGCACCAGACCACTTCCCTTCTTGCCCTGCTGTGGGGAACAGGGAATCCAGCAAGGCAGGATTCCAGTATGTCTAAAGGCAGGAGCAAGACTACTGTTGAAAAAGCCTTCCTTGAACCCAACATAATGGGTAACTGGTCTACATTTTCCAATATTCCATCTTTAGGCAAAGTACTGGAACATGGTAGCTTTTCAGTTTAAACAGCTCCTGTATGAGAAAGACTATTTCAGTTCATTCCAATCTGGCTTCAAGTGGGATCTGACCTCTTTGGTGGATGACCTGGCAGTGGTCAGGAGGAGTGTTTCCCTGTTGAGTAAACTGGATGACTCAACAGTGTTCAGTTATTATTAACTGTGATATCCTTCTGAGCCATATCTCTGCCATGGGACTCAGAGGCACTGTTTGCTCCGGTCCTTTCTGGAGGAGTGAACTCTGAAGGTGGTGTTGGGGAAAACACTATTCAGCATCCTGGCCATTGACCTCAGAGTTCAGTACTGTCCCGGGTACTAAAATCCACATGGAAGTTACTGTCCAAAGCTTGGAGATTTGGTACCACCACATGCTGAGGAAAACCTATCTCTACCTATCCTTCCCACCTCACTCCAAGGAAACTGTTTCAGTTCTAAACTGGTATCTAATGTCAATAATGGACTGGATGAGGGCACAAATTCAGTGAACCAAAGTTTCATTCAGACAAGATAAACGTATTGCTTGTCAATCAAAAAGCACATCTGGGATTAGAATGATTTAAGCTTGTCCTGATCAAGGTTATTTATGTTCCCCTAAAAACTCATTCAGCAGTGAACAGAAGTATATTCACAAAGTTGTAGTTGGTGTGCCAGCTGCACTCAATCCTTGAGTTGCTTGATTTGACTACAGTGACGCATGCCTTAGTTACATTCTGTTTGGATTACTGCTCTAGTGGGGCTACCTTTGAAGAGTGTTCCAAAATTTCTACTGGTACAGTGTTGCAGCTGCTGCTGACTGGGACCAATTAGAGGAAGCACATAACTCCTCTACTTCAGCAAATTCACTAGTTACTGATCTATTTCCAGGGCCAATTCAAAAAATTGGTTGTGCACCATAAAGTGCTATATGGATTGGGTTTCAAATACCTGAAGCACTATATCTCCTATAGGAGCCTGCTTGGGTTTTAAGATCTTTGTAGATCCTTCTCTTGATTCTGCACCTTCACAAGCATTTTTGATGGACATGTGTGAGAGAGGATCTTTCCATGTAGCTGTTGTCCATGTAGCTGTTGCCACTTTGTGGAGTGTCCTCTCATGGTGAACCAAGCTGGCCTCCTTCCCACAGTTCTTCAGATGACAGGCAAGGACCTCCCCCTTTTAGGCATTCTTTTAACAACTCAACAAAGCTTTATCACAAGCTGTTGCATTATTTTGTTTGTTTCTCATGGAAGTTGATGTTGGTTGTTGTGAGTTTTTCATGCTCTTTGGCCGTGTTCTGAAGGTTGTTCTTCCTAACGTTTCGCCAGTCTCTGTGGCCGGCAACTTCAGAGGACAGTACTCTGTGCTCTGGTGTAGTTGGCTTGGGAGTGCAGTATTTATGGCTGTGAGATAGGCTTTTGTCTTTTTCTGTAGATGGGTGATTAGTGTGTCCTGTCGTGGGAGTAATGCTGTGCTAAGGAGAAAAGAGTATCTGTCACTGTGGTTGATGGGTGTCATTAGCTGGTCTTTTGTGTGTAGTGATCCCCTGTCCTTGTGGCTGGGTAGAGGGCGCTGTCCTTTTGCACACTGTATTTTTGAGAGCTAGGAGCCAAGTTTTGTTGAGCTTCACACTTTCCTCTTTTTTGTTGAAGTTCTGCTGGTGCTTAGGAAGAACAACTTTCAAAACACGGCCAAAGAGCTTGAAAAACCATTAGATCCCAGCCGTGAAAGCCTTCACAAATACGAAGTTGATGTTATTTAAACATTTTAAATTATTTTTATTAGCAGTTTTAAAATACTGTTATACTGTATGTTGAGCCGTTTTTAATGTCATCACTTATTGTGATTTTAACTGTACTTGTTTTAAAGTATTTCTGAGTTGATTTGGGTCTCTGTACCAGGAAAAAGATGACAAAGAAATGAAATTAATATAATAACATATAATAAAAAACCAGAGCTTGCTTTTAGTAAGCTTTGGTTAAAAAATATTGAAATCAAGCTGTTTCTTTATGTAACAATCGCTCATCAAGCAGACTGCTTTCTATCCATCTGAAACCCTCACTTCTTTTCTTGTGAACGGGAAAAGTATGAATAGATTGGGATACTCACAACAGTATCCTGCATGCTTCACTGTTAGATCCACCCATTGAATCAAAGTAGGTGATGTTTTTTTTCCTGAAGTCAATAACCTAAATAAAACAAAATTTATAATCAAGCAAATGTATTCAGTCATCACCTTTTCAAGGCATATTAAACAAGCACCAAACATTTCTACACAACATGGATTACCTGCAATGAATTTAAAGTACAGTGGTGCCTGCTTAGCGATTGCTTCGTTTAACGATGTATTCGCTTTGCGATGGGTTTCTTTGAGGAAATTTCCCCATTGTTTAACAATGTTCTCTATGGGGGAATTTCACTTAACGATGTCCGTTTTTGCTCATTTAAAAGTGTCTTACAATGTTTGAAACCTGTTTTAAATGGTTGGAATAGTTACGTCCAATGGTTTTCAATGAGGGAAAAAACAAAAAAATCACCAAAAATTAACGAAGACTCAGAACAAAGCCAAACTAAGTGTGCATAGGTTTCACAAGGTGCACTACCGAATCCAAGCATTTAAAACAGGTTTCAAACATTTTAAGACACTTAAAAATGAGCGAAAACAGACATTGGAAAGGGCTTCAAAAGCACTGAAGCTGGCTTCAGTCCTTTTGAATGGCTTTCCCTTGGGGGAAACATTGTTTCACTTAGCGATGTTTCCTATGGGGATTTTCGCTTAAGGACGGCAATCACCATTGGAATGGATTAACCGGTTTTCAATGCATTCCTATGGGAAATGGTGTTTCGCTTAACAATGTTTTCCCATAGCAATGTTTTTTTTGGAACCAATTAACATCGTTAAGTGAGGCACCACTGTATAGCTATTTGGGCTAAGTTCTGGCATACAAATATGAAGACTTCACTTTAATATGTCACTGAGTTATCTTGTTCAACTACATCAAAATATGGCAAAATCTCTAGCTAAGTATACACAGATCTTTGCACAAACATTGCGGACTTGGGACAATGTTTAAGCTAGCGTTAAGCCTGCAGATCCTTTGTCATTATGAAAATGTTTGTTCCTGAGTACCTATAATATAAGAGGAACAATTCTGAAAAAACTATGCAGAGTACATAGACAAGAGGAAGAATCTGAGAGACTGGCATGCATATGTCTCTGTCTCTCAATGTGCAAATGCTTACACACATCGAAGGTACTTACTGCTAGGCACCAGTGGACACCCAGATGAACAGGAACCAACAGAATGTCTACAGAAAATATATCCACTTTTTTAGTCCAACGTTTCACAGCGGCATACCCAGCAGTTTTTAACTTGGTGAAGAAAAATGTGTTAAATGCATGAACAGTTGGAAAGCCCTTCTGTTTACTTCTCTCCATCAACATATTCATGTAGAAGTTAATTATCTGAGGAGAAAAATGTATGTTTGCATCATATAAATAAGAGATGACTAGCATTCATTTCAAAAGTTTCTTCTTTTGCCTTCACCAAAAAAAAATACAAAATCCCTCATTAAGTAAACAGTGGTATTCAAGCTTGCTGGATACTGTACTGAGTCAGTGGTCTGCAGGCTTGATTTAAAAAAAAACAACAACACTGAATACAGGACTACTATTTAATGTAAGAGTAAAATTACTTCAGAAACCTTTCAGTGATCTAAATATTATTCACATGTGGGTAAGCCAATACATAATTTATTGGGTTTAGCAACATACATTCAGACAATTGAGATTTCACAGAATTCAAAAACTTTCTAAAGTCTAGGAAAAAAAGTTAAGTAAGAGCAAGAAAATTAAGGGACTGTCAGGTTTTACAGAGGAAAGTCAAAGCCTAGAAGCTATGCACAGAAAACCCCTCCAAAGAAACCACAAAGGCTAGGAACAACAGCCAATGTTGTACCAGAACAAGATGGCATTATACGTTCAAGCTGCAGACACAGCATTTCTAGCCTTACTATGCTGCTAAATATGCAGAGTAGATATGGGAAGGATCTAAAGGGAGAAAAATGGTGAACAGGAATCTTTTCATAGTCCACAGCTTTTCTTCCACATTTTTCTCACTCCCTTGCCTCATCTGTCCAGGTTCCCATATATGAGGAAGAAAGGATCAAAGCAGATGGTAAAGATAGAAGATTGGGGTTTGGTATTTGATAGGAGTAATTCTCTGGGTATGTTGCCTAGACTAGACCACCACAGGGTATAGCCAGCCTGTCCACTTGTATCAGATGACACACTCTGACCTAACCCTGTTGCAAAAGACTGTTCTGTAATTTATTGGATTCCAAATAATCTTGCAAATGCAGATTGGTATCACCATTCCAGGAATGAACTAAACAACACAGTAAATGAAGCCTCATGGTCACCAGCAAAAGTAAAAACCCAAAAGGGGCTCACCGTATTAAAATAAGGTGGTTTTTAGAATGTATTCGTACAAGGTTGGCTGTGGCTACTAGCTTAGAGGGGTCTAAAAGAAATTCAGAGAAATGGAAGGACAATAAGCCTATCAACAACTCTAAGCCTTTCCTTTCCACCTAAATCCAAGGAAACTGTTTCGGCTCTAGATCAATGTCTGGTGTCACTAATGGACTGGATAAGCGTGAATAAACTGAAACTTAATCCAACAAGACAGACGCTCCTGGTCAGTTGAAAGACAGATCAAGAAATGGGGAGTCAACCTGTACATAATGGATGGAGTCACGCTTCCTTGAAAACAGGTGCGCAGCCAGGCGTGCTCCTGGATTCATCTATGAGCCTGGATGCCCAGGTTTCAGTGGCAGCAAGGAGTTCATTTGTACGATTAAAACTAGTGCAACTCTGCCCATTCCTGGAGGTCTGATATGGCCCTAGTGGCACATGCCTTACTTACACATGCCTTAGTTACATACTAGTTGGTTTACTATAATGAACTCTACATGCTCCTGCCTTTGGAAAGCATATGGAAACTTCAGCAGGTCCAAAACACTGCAAATTGTTAACTGGGGCTAATTGCAGGGACCACATAGGGAAACTTCAGCAGGTCCAAAACACTACAGTCAGATTGTTAACTGGGGCTAACTGCAGGGACCACATAATCACTACCACCCCTGTTACAGCAGCTCCTGGCTATTGATCTGTTTCTGGCCAAAATTCTAAGTGCTGGTTTTAACCTAAATCCACCTAAATGGCTTGGGTCTCAAGGATAGTGTCACCCATTATGAGCCTGTTTAGGTGTCACAGGTGCATTTGGTGGGGATATGGCAGAGGGACTTCTCTGTTGCTGCTTCCCAGACTTTGGAACTCTCTCCCACAGGAGGCCAGGCTGGCCGCATCTTTGCTGTCCTTCCATAAACAAAGACCTTTCTCTTTAGGTAAGCTTTCCCTTAGTGACTGGCTGTCTGAGAAGGATCTTCTAAATTTATTGTTGTGCCTTGTTGCTTTGAATGTGTTTTGGTGTTGATTTTGTTTACCCTTTTAAAGTGGGATATTTGTTTGATCCTTTATTAATATTCTTAATATGAATATACTTACCGTTTTTAGATTTTATATACAGTGGTGCCTTGACTTACCAATGTTTTAACTTATTATCATTTTGAGTTACAATCAGCTCCAGATGCAAAATTTTGCTTCGACTTGCAGCCGGAGCTTCGAGTTACAACCAAAAAAGGCAGGGGGAAAAAGGCGGGGAATTCAAATTGCTAAGCATTGGTAGGCGAAGAGGCTGCTTCTTTGTAGCTGTTTCACCCCAATGGTTAGAGTGAGTGCGATCGGAGGAGGCTTCAGATTGCCTGGTAAGGTAAGGTGCTGCTTTCTGTTTTTTAAAAACTATTCTGGGTGGGTTTTGCAGTGTGGTTTTGGGCTAGGGGGTTATATTTCTGTGCTGTGCTGGGTCTTAGGGGGTTTATTTGGGTTTTTTTGTTTTGTTTTTCCCCCCATTTCCGATGGGTCTTGCACGGTTTGCTTGCTTTCTGGAATTTTTCCCCCCATTTCTGATGGGTCTTGAACGCTTGGCTTGCTTTCTGCTTAGCTTTTTTTTTTGCATTTCTC